CAAGGACCATATACCTCACATTTCAAATATTAACCTTTGGATATTCCTGAAGAATCCCACTAGCTTTGTGCTGCTAGGGAACAAATAGCCTTTTCCTCAAATTGTCAGGACTGAGGTTTTTATGTGATCTGGCTAATGATATTTCCTCTTCCTGTGTTCATTTATAATACAAACAGATGTTAGTTAATTGCGCATTAAGTCACTGATTCATATTTTATGTTACCAGAACTTGAGCAGTATTTATGAAAGGAAGAGAACATTTTTAAATGAAAAATAAAATAGGTAAGAACATTGTTTTGTACTGCTGGGGATCTAACCCAGGCAGGCTCATCCATGCTAGGTGTGTGCTCTGAACATGCCCCATTTGAAAGGAAGAAAGCATTGCTAAAGAAATAGAACAGTCCAAAACATAAAAATACAGATACAGAACTTTGTCTCATATACATGTCATATATACTGTACATGTCTATCTATATAATTTGTATGACAAATATGTCTATTTTGATCTTACAATTTTCTTCAGAAGTAAAAGTTCTTTTAAAAACAAATTTTATCAAGAGGAAACATAATTTCTGAAATAAATATTTTCTACTTTACCTTGGGCAGCTTCTGAATGTTCCACGGGGAGTTTCCCTAGGTGATAGCAATATAGGACCTCAATTCTCTTGATGCTGATAAGCAGAATCTCTCTTCTACTGTGAGCCTACATGTGTCCTCCACTATAATTTTCCATGGTCTTCTGCAGGAAAGTGATGTGAGGGAAAAAAATAAGGATTAGGATTTTTCTTTCCCTGAAGTATTCCCAACTGCAGGATTTCTGAGATTCCCATAGAAAATAGGTATGGCCCAATCATTTAGTACATTTGACTCTATTCTAATTTGTGTCAGAAAACTGCCAAACATGTTTTATTCTTATATCTTGACTTAGTAACTCCTAAGGGACTGTTAGTACATTCTACATTAGTACTTCTCAAGATACAGTCCAAGGACCATCTGGATTGGAGTTACCATTGTACCATTGGTGTTTTTATATCATCGGAGACCTATGGAAGCCACATCCTATAGATCAGTTAAGGAGTAGAAAACGATCTGTGTTTTTGTAAGTTTCCTACATTATGAATATTCAGATTTGGGAACTGTGGTTGTATATCCTGATGCTTAACACAAGGCAACATGCTTCTATTTTCTAATGCATTTCCACTTGGAGACAGTAATTTATTATAGCCTTCTTTCCTAGAGAGCTACTGTTATGACACACAATCATACTCAACATGGTGCCTAGGTTGACTTATGACAGAAGATCCCTTGCTAGAGCAACTCTACATGGATATTGCCATTAGGCAATCCTATCTTTAGGAAAGAGCTACAAATATGAAGACAACCACTGATATTCTTTAAGGTGCAGATAGGGGTCACACACAAGTTTTGAGCAGATTGAGCACAAGCCTAAAACAGAGTAGAAAGCAAGTCAGATGCCATGAGCGAGGGTGTTAGCCCTGGAAATCATGTTCCCAATAGCAAAAGGGCAATAAAAAATGGGAGAAAACATGAAAAGTAGTATATTAATTTAAAAGGCACCATGAAATGAGGCCATTCAATACCTCTTTAGTAGCATCTGAAAGCTTAAGTGTGCATAGCATAAATTATATTCGTAATTATAACCAATACCCCCAACAAGGGATGAAGTGTTTTTCATACATTATGTTCAGTCCGAGCAGGGAAGCTAAGGTGAGAGAAGCGTTTGAAGTGTGAGTCCTTAGTTCGTTGATACTAGCTGGAATAATTTTCAGTCTCGGAATTCTCCATGCTAATTTTACTATCCACATGTGTATGTATCTCTAATTACAGTGCAATTTCTTAAAGATATTAGTAATAATCAACCACATTTGCAAACTGTCTTGTCTTCATACTTATAGAATCAAACTTTTGGCAAAGTAACTATTTTTTATGTAGTGAATTTGGAGAGAGGAAAAAACAATTAGTGTTATTAATATTTTTAATAGAGTAGAGGGTGAAATCATTTTAAAGAAAAATTATTATAACCTTTTAATGTACATAAAATATCTACCAGATTTTGTGATTGTGTGATAAGTGATAACATTACATATGTATTTTGAAAAGAAAAGTCAAACTTAGTTTTGGAAAAGCATTTATTCACTTTAGAACATTTATAAGTCATGACTCTCATATGTTAGAATATATTTGGGATATAGTAGCCTCTGTAGTTGTCAGAAAAAGCAGTAAGTACATGGATTATTGTATTTTTAATCTGATATTTCAGAAAGTATTGTCCTTAACATAAATTATGAGAGGCACCAAATAAAATGAGAAAATGACACTTAATAAGAAAAAGAACAGTAAATATACTGACCTGAAAGACTAGGGGAGGAACTTGAGAACCGTCCTTTAAGGGAATTGCTTATGATAAAGCATACCATCAGTTTAATGGCCCTATCAAGGCGGCTGTCTTGCTACACCAATTCCAAATTTGCTCTGTCTTCACAGATACTTGGAATGAGCACTGAACTTGCAGTCAGGAGACAGGACTTCTAATCTGGGCTTACATTTGGTTGATTATGTCTATGAAGCAAAATCATGTACTCAACCAAGTTGGCCATAGCTGTCCTTGCTGTGAGCCTGGGAACTTGGACACTCACACATATACATGTTTATGGAAAGAAAGAACATGAAAATGGATGGGTTAGAATAAAGGCACAGATTTAAGGAAAGTTTAATTATTTTACTGATAATAATAAACATTCTTGCCTCAATTTGTTCATAAATTTTTGTATGAAGTCCCACAATACTGCTTATGCAAGAGAAATCTAAGTAGGAAGATATACCATGTGCATCTATAGACTCTGATTATGACCTGTAAACTGTTCTTATTCAAGAAATTCCAAATTACTTGACTCTGTTTAAATTTTACTCTAAAATATTGTAGAATTATTTTGGTAATGCTATTTTAAAGGCACTTAAATCTTACTGAACAGCTTCATAATTCTAAGTACATGTAACTAGAATACAGTCATATGCTGGAAGTATTTTACCAACTTTTAAAAATGGCTTATTAATGGAAAATATAACAGTTTCTTTGTCTACTTTAATTTGATATCAAATCTTTATAGTTCTGAACAAGATTGACCAATATTAAATGATGACTCTATGATGGTAACCTGTTTTATAAAATGGGCTTCTTTTCATAATATACAAGGATAAGCTTTTGAATCTTAGTATCACAAATGCTTACCTATGAATGCTATTTAAATATATCTGAAAAGTTATAGCTTACCTATAACCAGACTTTACATGAGCTTTTTAAAGAGTAACTTGCAACTCTAACCTTCTATGTTTTAATTTTTTTTATTTCTAATGATTCCAACTTATTCCTATATTCTCATGCACATAATAACTTCAATGAACTTTTAATAAAACATTTTCTTGTTTGATTATTTCTGATGTTTTGTAAGAGAATATTCTTCAGTTTTTCCCACCTACATGTCATTTCTTAATAGTTCCTTGTTGTACATGTATGTTTTTCATTGCAAGAACTGGGAGTGTATGTAGTAATTTATATTTCATTCAGTCAAATTTTAAGGGAGGTTAAAAAAAGATTTACAGATTAACTTGATTTTATTTATGCTCAGTCTCGCATCTAACGTTTGCACTTTGTATTTATTGAGGTTAAATGTAGTAATTTTGTCTTTCACTGAGACTGCCAATCTTTTTTAGCTTAACTTTCTTGAAAGCTAGAAGAAAAGACTTTAAAAACCTCCACCAAAGGGCCAGGGATACAGCTCAGTGGCACAGAGCCTGCCTGGCAAGTGAAAGGTTGTGAGTTCAATTCCCGGTACCAAAGCAAATAAATAAATCAAAACCTCCATTAATTAGTATTATAATTAGGGCTTCTACAGCGTTGTATATTCTTTTAGTATAAAGGATAGAGTTGTAGAAGAATAAATGAGGTAGGCGAGAGCGCTGTCTGTAATGTGGAACTCAGGACAAATTTCCAAGACCTCTGTCATTCACTGATGTGCAGCAAGCCTATCTCTTTGAAATCCCCTGCTTTCAGCTGGTTCTTCAGAGTTTTTAAGGTGGTATTGATCACACACAAGACTACGATATAACAAATAGAAATGAGAGATCACTGAGCCTGGGAAGCAAGTAGGCAGAAAAGAGGGGTACCAGGTCACGGGTTACATAAATTACAGTTAGGGAAAATAAACTCAGGTGCTTTATCACCTAAAGGATGATGGTAACATGACTACAGATCATAACAATATTCTGGAAATTTCAGAAAAGCTAGAAGAAAAAATTTAGCACTTTTTCACCGAAAATAGAGATGCTTAACCCTGATTTGACTATTACACAATATGTATGGACAACAAAATACTGAATAGTTCCCAGGAAATATATGCAGTGTTTATATGTCAATAGAAAAAATGAAAAACAAACCAAAATGATATTGATTCTGTATGTAATGGATACAAGTAGAAAACATTAATTAATGAGGAAATTTTCTAACTTTTTGAAAAGAGAAAATATCTTAAAGGTTATATTAGGAAAAGTGTAAGTAAGCATTGAACATATTTGTGTACGTGCTATTTTAAAATATAATGATTGCAGTAACTTTAGGATAAAAATGTCCCTATGAAATGTCTTTTGAAAAATTCTTATAATTTTATAGAAAGTTAATTCAATGTGATTCTTCTTGTGTTATTTGGATAATTTTTGTCTTTGTAAGCCAAAGACTATTTCACAATCCTGTGTTTGTTAAATGATTCTAGTTCTCCAAAAGTATGTTTGTTACAAAAATGAATTTAAGATTCCTACAGGGTTCATAGCCTAACAATGCTGATTTTATATTTTTTGTCTATGTCAAATTCCAATTGTATTGATAATGGTTTGGGATTCTGAGAGAAGTTAGCTGCCTTATTATTGAAAGAGAAGAGCTTGTGGCCTGCACTTTTTTTTTTTTGCCTTAACTATTCAATTCTCAGATATTGACCAGTGGAATAAAGTAATCGAGCAACTAGGAACACCGTGTCCAGAATTCATGAAGAAATTGCAGCCCACAGTAAGAAACTATGTGGAGAATCGGCCCAAATATGCTGGACTCACCTTCCCCAAGCTTTTCCCAGACTCCCTCTTCCCAGCAGACTCTGAGCACAATAAACTTAAAGGTACGCCCCTTGGGGAAAACCCCCAAACCATCACGAGGTTGATAGACTAAAAACATGTGATACTGAGACCTTTCTTTAACTGGAGCTACCTCACAATAAGGAGCGTTATTTCTTAAAAGAGGTTTCTTACCCAGGGGTGTGGCTCAAAGTTTTATAATTTTGTAAGCACTCAGATGGAAGGAAAGAATAAAGTACAGGACAGTGGTATAAGATAGCTATTTCACAGGGGTTTATTTTCAATCTTGAAATTATCTTTTGAAGTGCAATTCCAGAAGACCAATGTGACATCGATTAAATCATTGTTTCGATCCTTTTCACTGCGTAGAAAATGTTTTCAGCACAAGTTTTCAGTTTTAAAATCTTGGAGATGCAGGTGTCTGAATTTCTTTTATTTGTATTTAATGGATGGCTTAACCATCTCTTAAAAAATTTAGAGTGGTATTTGAGATGTGCTTACACACTTGTATTCTGTATAAGCACTTCTATAATAGGTGCTTCTTTTTACTACTGTGTTTGCAGTTATCACACTGCTTCTGTGTTCCTGATACTTGTATTGGACAGGTAGATTTCTTCCTTCAGCTGCCTCTATGGATTCTGTGAGTGGCAATGGACTAAATTATTATGAGAGCTTTTGGTTTTAAGATTATTCATATAAATATACAGATTTGAAAAAAGCTCATACCCAAAGTAGAGATAATTTAGCGTTTATGCCTTCCTGATACTGAGATATTAAGCAAAGGTAATTCCTTCTTCAAAAGACACTTGTAACAAGATTGAGACGGCAAAGCCCTCATCTAACTATTGAATAATAGTGACAACACTTGCAGAAAAAACTATTAAGCAAAATATTATATTTTAATATAATACAATATTGGGGCTGGGGCTTTAGCTCAGCAGCACACTGCCTGCCTGGCAAGTGTGAGGTGTTAATTCGATTCCCAGTACTGGAAAAAAAAACAAAAACAAAAACAATAAAATAAAATATAATACAATATTATAATACAGTAAAATTTTAATTCAATATAAGTATAATAAAACATATTTAATGTAATATTTAATATAATCTCAATTTTCTTGAGTTTACTTTTTAATTAGAACTTCTAAAATTATACTTCTTCTTGTAAATTATAAACTACTTTATGTATTTGTGATGATCTAATTTTGATTTTCACATGTAATTGCCACATTTTGAGGAATCATAATATACCAGTAAACAATGGGGAGAATATACTTTTCTGTATTTGGAAAACAGCATAACAGCTTTGCTTGAAAAGGGGAGATTAAGCATCAAGCTCCTTTCATCATTTTGTTCCCTACATGAGGTATTGATCATTGCTTCTTGGTAAGATGCTTTGGCACTGCCTAGCATGAAGCACTTGCTTCAGGCCCTGAGCTTCCTGGAAAGAGACATAGAAGGGTTGGTGGGAGAACCTGAGTGTCAATGGTGGGATAAAACAAACAGGTCTTTGGACTCATGACATAAAAACACGAGTCTTCTTAGGTTATTAGAAAGCTACAGGTAATTAGAAAGATTTAATTTTGAATTAATGTATATTTATTTTTATTACCCTTATGAACTTTGGAATCTTATTTGATAATGATACTTATCAATTTTTGATTGGGTTTACTAGAAAAATAGTCACTCAAAATAAAAAGTCCCAAGGTCTGACATAAGTAATGATTTTTCATATTCATCCAAAACACTAGAAAGTATATGGAAAAACACAAAATATTTATAGGGTAGGTCAAAAAATAGTTTGCTATATGTCACTACTAGTATTGTCAAATTATGTGAAAAGTAACTGAACAGGAAATAATTGTCTGAAAAAATTTACATTAGAAAAGATACAACTATGACTTGTGGGGATAGTTGATATTTCCTGATTTTATATTGTATTTTCAAATTTGTACAATTAATTCAGTTGCCTTGAAAAATAAAATTGAGACATGTCAATGGATTCAAGAATATTGACTTCTTCTTAAATTAGTTGAGGCTCTGCTCTCTCAATTTGAAGTTTACCATGTTATTTTCACTGTTAATCTGTCAGATCAGCTGAGAAACAGTACTGGTTTAAAATACTCATTTTCTATTTTGGTTGAAACTATTTTATGCAAAATGTTCTGTTTTAGATATTAAAAATTAATTTGCCTTTTAATAGTGTTATTAAATAAATAATCCTGCTGATTATCACTATATAATTTTATAACTATACTGCCCACAATGCTAAAATTAATCATGTGAGTATGTCCTTGGTATGGAGTGTTTCATTACTACCTAGTATGTGTAGCTTTGGAATGGCTTTAACCACTAACTCCCGAATTTCACCAAGTCATGATTCCACTGATTTAAGATGCTCAATGATTACAGGATGTGAAAATGAGGTTTAGTAGTTGAGTGATAAAATCTCTATCACATCTGCACTTCAGATTGTTTTTATGATTATAAGAAGTTTGGATAATATGACCTCTGAATCAATGCAAATTTTACCCAGATCCTAATAAAGCCATTGTATGCAAAAGAATATGAAAACATACACATTGATTTTCCCCAAATAACCTCCCTTCCATTTGTGAAGCATCCAGAGTCTGTATTTTCCACCCACCTATGTTTTTGCAGGTCACCCCAGCAGATCACCTTGCCCAGATAACCTCTGGGTTCGTAGGTGTTACCGAGCTCTGTACTCACACACTTAGAGCATCGGGACCCCAGGGGGCCCCAAATGATACTTTGAGGTTTTATGACAGAAAGAGTTGTAAAATACATTTCCCTTTTCAATGCATTAAGAATTTTTCTGATGTTTAGAATGTAGTAGCTAATTATTTGTTTTCTTAATTTCCTCTCCATCCAAAAAAGTCCCTTGCTGAAATAAAAATCTTACTAATTATTTTTCTCCTTTATTGTTTCAGCCAGCCAAGCTAGGGACTTGTTGTCAAAGATGCTAGTGATCGACCCAGCAAAAAGGATATCCGTGGACGACGCCTTACAGCACCCCTACATCAATGTCTGGTACGACCCTGCCGAGGTGGAGGCGGTAAGGCTCAGCCCATTTTACTTTCTTTCTGTACACCAACAGCAATTCATGGTGAACTGAGAGAACACCCAAAAGAGTTTCATAAAATCTCTAAGTCCAAAGACTGCTATGTTCCCCACACAAAGTTATCTTCTTATGCCTGTTTTAAATGTAGTTCTTTTGTCAGAACTTCCTATTAAATGGGATGAGTTAGTACAACTTGTTTATTTTGCCGTCATCTTCCTTTTTTCCTTCTTCTTTTCCTTTTGCTCTCCCCCGCTCTTCCTCTTTCTCCCACTCTGCCTCCCTCCCGCCACGGTACTAAGCATTAAAGCCAAGGTCTTGCGCATGCGGGCAGGCTCTGTATCATGGAGCTACATCCCAGCTCAGTCTGACTGTCCGTGACTTACTGCCACTTGTTTTCTCTAAATTAGTGACGCTTACATTTCCTCCAGGGTGGCAAGCTATCAGCCTCTCCTGATGCAAACGTCATGGTAGAAAACAAAATAGAAAATGAATCACTGAGCTTCTGTTCGCTTTGTAAGACATCTTTCACAGGTCCCATGTGGGGACCACAGGTGCCCACATATGTTCCATCCCGCTCCTGATGAGAAGTTCTTTTTGGTGCTGCCTTTAATGTTACTCTCAGCCATCTTACCTTCTCCTCAAAATGTCTGAATCTCCTCCTCAAAGTACTTGTGCTAATTTAACTCTTTTTCCTTTAACGTAGTACTTTTCCATGCATTTGTTTGAATTTGTTCCTCATCTTCTATTTGAAAAACTGCTGGCTTTGACCTTTCAATCTGCACCCAGAGGTACTCCGGCGAGGCAACATTTCTGCTCTGTGTCAGGATCTTTTCCTCTGCTTCATCCTGTCCTTGCCCAGGGCAGACATACTAAATGCAAACTTGCAGAATTCTCACTTCTTCATTCTTCACTAGAGAAGCAAGAGAGAGCTGAAAGATGATAGGAGGAGCAGGTAGAACTGAACGTTACTGACAGAATATGCAGCAAGCTCCTCTTTCACCGGGTAATTCAATCCCGAAGTGTTTCAAAGCTTCAGAAGGAGCAATGCGGCTCCCTGTCCCGCTGGGCTTCATCTTAAAATCTGCTCAGATAAGGGGTTGCACAGTAGGGCTGACATTTGAGTTTGTTTCAAATTAATGTTCAGTCATTT